ACCAACACCAACACCACCACCACCACCACCACCACCGCCTCCTCTGTAGCTGACACTGACAATGCTGACTTCTCATGACCACACTGTCCACGCACATTCACCTCACGCATCGGCCTGATCGGTCACTTGCGAATCCATCGCACAGAGACTGGCGAACCAGTGCCTGGAGCACTCACCTATACCCACCAAGCTCGTCTCAACTGCTCACACTGCCCTTGCACTTTCAGGCATCGCATGGGTCTCTTCGGCCACATGCGCATCCACGACGACCTGCGGTAGACAACCGCCGGTCACACCACACATTCACACACTCCATACTCTCCTCCACCATCACCAACACACATCAACACTCACACATCTCATGAACCCAACTGCCACCTCCCACGCAAGTGGGAAGTCCGCATCTTGACTCGGTCCCCTTGCGGCTTCGGCTGCAATGGTGAATTGAGTCCGAGACTATACCGACACGTCAAGCGTCGTGGATAGGAAGGTTGCTGATTGACGTCCGCTCTCCGTTCAAGCAGTTCGTCGCGTTGTGTGTGTGTGTTGTGTGGAGTGGCGGACTGGTGGGCTGGGAACGGGATGAAGCAGCACCTTCCACGGCACTCTCACGCAAGTGAGAGACACGCCGTTCAACCCCCGTTGTGTGAAATCCTGGTGTTGTGCGTATGGGGGGCCAGGTCGTGCCGTGGCACGCGCAGTCATGGTCAGTCCACCATGACAGCCACCGCGCCCATTCTCCACTCCAGTCTGCTGACCCGCTCGGACAGCGGCTGGGGTGTGGGAGTGGGAAGGGAGAGTGAGGTCGACGACTCAGCGCACTTTCTCCTCACTATAAACAATCTGACGCGCTTGAAGCTATCACGGTGCGCTAAAAGCCGTGGCTTGGAAGGTTGCCAACTGACGGGGTACCTTGGACCTCTTCCTTCACTGGAGGCGGTCTGAGAGTCAGGCTGCAATGGCTCCTTTTTAATGTGGCCTTTATGGCACTCCCATCACAGTGTGGGATCCGAGCCAGGCGTTGGAGGCACGCCCAGGTGCGGCTTCGGCCGTGCCAGCCTCCAAATCTCTCTTGTGTTGATTGAAATCCTGGTCATTTGTTGTGCGGACCAAGAGGTGTGGTGGAACGCCAAGGTGAGGATCCGTCCGAGCCATCCACCTGCGGCCTCCCTCGTCTCCGGTCTTCTTGACTCTGTCTTGACACCGGGCTCGGGCGAGGGAGGAGGAGAGAGTGTAGGTAGGTGCTACGCAAGTCTACCGGCACTATAAACCCCCGCGTAAGTCACCGTCCCTGCTCCCATTGCTGCTGCAACTGTGGGGCACACGGTGGTCGAAATGTCAGTTAGCAACGTGTCCCGAAAATTTTGTTAAGCACCTATCCTTCATGACCCATTGAAGAGTGGCATATCCCACACTTAAACAGACCATGTCAGAGATTGGGATGCGCAGAAACTAAGGATCTGTTCGATAAAGAACGTCCGGTCGCCCGTTGAGACTAGGGGCACTTTCAAGGATACGACAATGATTGCATATGGAAGCTCATGATTTTTACTGTGACCTACCTACTTATTTGGTTTCAGTAGTTGTACTAGGATTGCGTTTCTGACTAAGCTTAAGACAGTGATGAAGTTTAGGGTTAGATTAAAGTCTGGGGGCAGGGATGGGGTTGGAGTTAAGTTTGTCTGCCGCATACCGTCTAACCCTTTCCGACCTTCTTTAATCAATAACTCTGGTGTTACTAAGACGGGAACCACAATGGAATCGCGGCCCAAGGTGAAAAGAACACATGACCACGCGCCTCGCAGCAGGTCAAGCCGACTGAGAAATGCACACGTGAAACCAGCCGGCCAATCAGCGCGCGCTGCTGCATCGAGTGCGCGTGGGCCCTTGTTTACGCGTGCGGCCCAAATATTCGAGAAGATTCAGAGAGGGGCTTCCAGCGTGAGAAGTGGCCGATCAACATGCGACACGCCATTGTCCAGAATGTCCGTCTCGCTTCGTACTCCATTGGCCGGAAGGTCTGAGAACGGCCAGAACTCTAATAAACAGGTGAGAGTTGATGAGCTAAGGGATCCACTGTTTTCCGTCGACCAAGTACAACGTGTTTTTTTCCCGAACCCGTCTTCTTTCTCTTCCATCGCACCCGTCGGGATAGAACACTTGGATTATCTTGCTCCGCCAGTCTACACACCCATAATTCGCACTTTTAAAATTGCACAGTCTGCTCCGACATATC